GTTTCATTCCTTAATGTTAATTAGGAGGGGAGAGACGATTTTTTAATTAGCGGGCGAATTAATGGGGAGTCACTCTGCGCCGAGAAAACATTGGGTTTCTTATAGCGCCGTGACTTTCGTCGCAATATTAGTTTTTTTATTGCAGAGATTAAGGGATGAAACCGGGGTTGATGGATGGGGAATTTAATTCTCCATTGAACAGTCTTTGTTTCATCCCTTAATATTAATTACTCGGAGAATGAATCAACTGAAAAACATAAAGTAAACATTGAGTACAAGGAGGACAAAAGTACCTCTCCGAACCTGTCCCTGTGACAGCGGGACTGTTACTGCCGAGCTACTCACGCACCCGACTCACATTTACCGACAACACCCCACGATCCGGGCCACTACTCAGGTCTATCGTCTTTGGCGTCATCACTCGGCGGAAAAATTTCTTTAAAATTACGGTCGATAAGTGAATGCCGTCTAAAATCTCTACCATGCCGACTTCGATTGACGACCCGAACATAAAAATCCGACGTTGTTATCTGTAGACTCGTTTTCCTGTACAGTTGTGTTCTGTAGACTCGTTCTGCGAGGTTTCTCACTAGATGGCAACTTTCCCTAGATGGTGTCGTCTGTAGAGTTGTAAAAGTACAAACCACGCCTCCCCAACTTTAGTGAATAATTGTATATTTATTATAGGTATTTTTTATTTTTTCCCCAAAGCTAATATCGAATTTGTGTTAGAAATTCTTTAGAGTAAGCTTGAGAATTTTTATGCGCTATATCCTAGTGTCACGGTACTATTGGGTGGTGATTTTAATGCGCACATCTCCGATGATGGGGTCATTCCAGATGAGTTACTTGAGGGCACGAATCTTTTTAAGCATAGAACTGTCTCTAGATTAGATAGGTGTAACAGAGGTATTTTACTGCAAGATTTTATGGAAAATAATAGTTTTTTTTGCCTCAATCGTCGATGAGTGACAGACTCACCTCCGAGAATTACATTTGCAGCGACTACGGGAAATAGTATTGTGGATTTTGTGTAGGTAAACGCCCTAGTGCTGACATTGATTGAAGATTTTGAAGTTTTGTTTGTTACGACTATTTCGGATCATTTCCCCGTTGTTACCTCCCTCGCGATGTCTATTTCTTACGCAGCAGAGTCTGTTCCTGAAACACCAAGGATCTCCAAACTGTCTTAGGACTCTAGCAGTAAGGAGAAATATTTTTACGAAATGTTAAACTCTAATAGATTGAAATTTGATTTTGAGAACTCGGAAATTGTGCAAATATCGTTGAATCTCAAATTAGCCATTACAGAAGCGGTAAGTAAATGCGATTTAGTTAAGGTAACCAGAGCCCAAAGGCAGTCTAAAACTTCGGGTAGAAAAAATAAAAATAAAGTCTGGTATGACTCAGACTGTAGACTTATGAAGGGAGCTGTCGATCAGCAGTTAGCCGAATTTAGAAACTCTAATTTCTCGGGTGTATTTGTGACCAATTATTTTGAAATCAAAAAAAGATATGTCAACTTATTGAAAAAAAAGGAGCGTGAATATGATGATTATATTACTAATTCCCTAGCAAATGTAAGAAATCTGTCGAAATTCTGGTCTACAATCCAGGTACTCCGTCCATTTGCCTATACTATCCCTTGCATTTCTCTAGACGAATGGTATAAATTTTATGACAGCTTTACTCCTCCCAAATTAAAAATCGACATTTTTTTCCCTCTCAACTCCAATCCAGTGCTAGATGCCCCATTCTCTTCCCAGGAAATTTGTCGTAATGTACTGAGTTTAAAAAATGGAAAAGCCGCTGGGCCCGATGAGATTGGAAATGAATTCATTCAAAATCTACCAGAAAATTTGATACTTTATATGGAGGTCCTTTTCAATAAGATTTTAGAGGCTGAATTTGTACCGGAGTCATAGGGTTCTGCAGCGTTAACTATGCTCTATAAAAAGGGCGACAAATTTGATCCGTTAAACTACCGTGGTATTGCTCTATGTAACTGTCTTATTTACCCAAATGTTAAGGAACAGACTTCAGGTGTGGGCTGATTCTGAAGGCATTCTGGAGGAAAGTCAGGCGGGATTTCGACCGGAAAGGTCTTGTTTAGATCAAATTATCGTCCTCAAGGCTGCTACTCAGCTTCAGCTGCGCCTGGGTTCCAGAAAAGTTTTCAGTGTTTTTGTTGATTTTAGAAGAGCGTTTGACTCGATTCCCCATGATAAACTTTGGCAGAAATTGTTTCATCTAGGTGTCACTTCTAAATTTGTGAAAATAATAAAATCGCTCTACGACAGTGCCTCAATTCAGGTTAAAGCAGGTGGCCGTCTCTCTGATCCCCTCCTAGTTTCCTCGGGTGTACTCCAGGGGGAGTCCTTGAGTCCCCTCCTGTTTATTCTTTACATTGCAGACCTTGAGAAATATTTACGTGAGCTTGGTTTTAGGGGTGTCAATATCAACGGTATCACTGACGTTCTGTTACTGCTGTATGCTTATGACTTGGTCATACTTGTTGAGAGTGAACTGGTCTTGAAAAAGATATTAATTGCTCTGGATTCCTACTGTTCAGATCTGGGTCTCTCTGTAAACTCAGACAAGACGAAGGTCATGATTTTTAGGGAAGGTGGAAGAGTGAGTCCAGAATTAAGGTTTTTTTTACAAGGGTAGTGAATTGGGCTTAGTTTCCTCCTACACGTATCTGTGTGTCCCTGTAAGTAGCTCAACACTCGGCTTCTTAGCAGCCAAGGAAGCGGTGATTAAAGCTAGGCAGGCAAGTGGTGCGGTTTTTGCGATCTTTGCACGCGGTAAATGTGACTCTTGGTCAAGTATGATCAGGCTGTTCGAAGCCATTACCAAGACGACCCTCCTCTATGCTTCGCCTGCCTGGGCCTTGAATTACTTAGATCATCTTGAGACAGCTCAGCTGAGCTTTGTTAAAAGACTCCTGCTTCTCCCCAAGAACACCCCCAGCTGTGCTCTGAGGCTGGAGACGGGACTATTGAGAGTGGAATACGCGGTCTGCAAAGCGACTCTGAATTATATTATCAAGATTCTTGAGATGGAAGACCATCGTCTTCCAAAAATATGTCTAAGGAGAATGTTTGAGCTTGATTCTGATCCTAATCCTCTTAAAGATGTTGCCAAATTTAAAAAATTTAACTGGGGCACGCGTATTTGCAATTTTTTGTCATTGGTGGGGGCTCCGGAGCTTTGGGGTAATTTTGGGGCCGCTGATTGGCTTGGCAATAGGGAAGGGATGCTTGAAAGGCTCAAACAGTTTCTTTTGGAGCAAGACTGGGTCGATTGGAACAAATGCATCCATAAGATACCGGTAGCTAGAAATGTTTTGGGTTCTGCTTCTATGTATCTACTGAACAGAGGTCCGATTGCGTACACCAGAATCAAAGCGCAATTTCGCCTAGCTAACTCGCACAACTGTAGGTTTATTTTAGATGGTTACGTTTATAAATTCGAGCCCTTTAGTCCATGTAACTATTGTGCCTCGCGGGCCCCTGAGTCCTTGCAACACTTTCTTCAATTTTGCCCCTGTTATCATGATCTTAGAGTGAAATACTTGTTTCCTTGTCTGAAGTCCATTACCTTCCAAAGCTTTATTCAGTTCCTAGAGAGTCCAAACAAGTCAGATACTAGAGCTTTATTTATGTTTTTATCAGGTGCCCTAAGAGCTAGAGAGGTGGTTTTGCAGAGTCGAAACATGGAGCCAGTCAGGGCTGACCAACTGATTACTAGATTTTTGTTGTCGGAATCACAACCATCTGAGGGATAGTCACGTCTTTTTATGCTTTTTTATGCGTTTCTTTGTAATTATGTAAACTTTCAGGCCGACGTTAGGCTGTTGAGGCTGTATTTTTGTGATAAATGAGGGTTGATCCTGTTACTTTATATTATATTTTGTTTAATTTTAAGCTGATTGCACTTGAACTATTAATTTTTTATTACTTTTATCTGTAATATTATTCTATGTATAATGGTCTCCCCCCTGCCATAGGGTGTAACTCGATTTAAATGCACTAAATCAATTTAATCTAATCTAAAAAATATTATTTGAAAATTCCACCTTTTCCTATTAATTGTTCTCCCATTGTCTATTCAAACATTCTTTGATACTTAAGAGATACTCTCATAATTATATTGAATTCTCCGGAAACCTGTCGTATCATCTTACATCTGGAAAAAACTGGCTATCCTCTGAATATCATCTCATGGTTCCAGCACAAAATTGAAAATAAAAAGTTGAAATGACAGTGTGACTTCTAAATCATCCTTTTTCGTTAATCTAAAATTCATCTTAATGATTCACAGTATATGACACAATTATCGTTATTCTTGTTCTCTACAATGTTTAAATTTTGATACATATATATATTTTTTTCTATAATTCTATGATAGCATAATCCTAGCTACTGATTCTAATCAACTTTCGAGAAAAACGTACTAAACGCAACATTCAGTAAGTTAAATAATTCTTTTTTCTATTTGGACCATTATAATTGCTTCAGCCTCCAAAAATATCGAGTAATTTGGTACAGAATGTTCATATGTTGAATGGGAATTCAAGTAATTTGAAAGTTTTCATGTTCATGCTGTTAAAAAAGGTGGAGTTTGCAGTAAATTTTCAGTGAAATTTTACACTTCATGACTGTTCCCTCTCAAACTTCTAAAATTTACTATTAGACTGTCCTTAAAATTTCAATTATTTTTTTTAACAGTATAACTGCTATTTACTCATAATTATGAAAGAATATTGAAAAAATATAGAAAAAAATAGGAAGTCAACTTTTCGAAATGGACTAATGAAATTATTGAAAAATTCCGATTTTCGGAGACCATGACTTTTTTCTTTACAAATGATTCAATAATAATCAATTTTTAACCCAAAGAATAATTTTTCCTAAACTGTACTGAATTGAAAAAATGATTTTTTTTGTAAATTTGAACCATTCGATTATTCATTCCTAAGAAGAGAATATTGAAAAAAGCAAGTATTTACGGAATTTTGTTCGAAAGCCGCTAATTATCCATCCTTTATTTTCGAGCTTTCCCTATGCCTATTCAATTGATAAATTAGATGATTGAAAATCTTTGAATGAAAAGTATTCCGACCTTCTTATTCCAGAGAGAAAATTCAATATTCTTTGATTTTATGGTATAAGTACTGATTGCAATTCACCAAGCGTATAAAAAACAATCGAATGAAAAAATTGCAATCATGTTAATTATGTAAGTTACGAATTTGGTCTGAATCATTTTAAAAAACATGAGATCCATTTCACTTCTGAATGGAAAAATTGTATTTGTCGAGTCCAAAAATGCCAACATTTGTAGCAGGATAACTACTTTTGGATTCAGGAGTTCGAATATGCAATTTTTAGACCATGTCCCGATATACAGGGTGTTCCTGAAAAACATGCCGATCCGAAACTGGCAGGTTCACGGGGTGATTCTCAACAGAAAAGTCCTTTTCCACTTTTTGATCAGAAGCACCCCTGAGGAGTCATTAAGGTGAGAAGGACAGCCAATGGCGCTACAGCATTCAGCAGCTGTACGTCCGTGTGGCTGTGCGCATCAGTGTGCGTGATGCCCCTTCCACTGAGCAGGAGGCGGGATAGAGTTCCACTTCCACTCGTGAGCGAGAAAGAGAAGGAACGATACTTCTCTGTCGCTCTTATTATGTTTTTGGAGGGGAATACGAAAGAGAAAAAAAAAGATTCTTTCCTCTCTCGCTTCGAGTAAACAATTAATAATTATTAATTGTTTACGGACTCCCCAGAGTTCTGATTGTTTTATTTTGATGGCATTTTGCTGAAAAAAAATATTTTTGCAATTATCTCGTAAACCATGGCATGGGTTTACAGCATTTTGCAAAAAAAACTTGTTTGAAACGCAACCAAAATTCCAGAACATTCTGGTCGACCATCCGCCTACTTCGAAAATCTCCGGGACCCTTCGGGTCATCAGTCATAAGTCACCGAAACACGCGGGAATCAGTTTAGGCTTAGCCTCTCACCGTATAAATCTATCTCGAGCAAATCACCTGTAGACGTCGTATAGTATCAGTACAGTTCCGATCAGTACATCAACTCAGTTCATTTATTCAGTTTTATAAATTCAGTCTAGAGTCAATCAACGCAGTTAAATAATTATCAGTATAAATTCAATAAATTAATTAACAACTTTCTAGAGACATTCACCCGTGTATAAAGTGTACATATTTTCCGACTTTGGTGGCTGTTGGCCACCAATAAATTGTGACTTTAGAAAAATCGGTATTTTTTTTTCACGGCTCATCCTACTTTAACTATCCTCTAACACCTCCCACAATCTACTCAATTTACAGATCCTCTCCTCAAACAGTGGTCCTTCGAGCCGGATTTGTGGAAAAAGTGTTAGTGATAGTGCTGTGAAAGAAAAAGAGACGCCTCGTGTGTAACGAACTTTCGGGGTTCACACGAGCCATCGAACGGACAGGACATCAACGGTGACGAGAACAAAAGGCCAATCTTGTTTACATTTCGCAAGGAATTTGGTGTGAACAAAACATCAGTGATCTCAGAGTATAAGTATCGTGTGTTCGGAAGTCAGCAGTTCTAGAGAGAATTCTCGGGACATCATCAACATGAATCACCGCAGCCACTCATCAGCAAATCATCGGCGAACCAAGAATTTTTGGCAATTATCTCGTAAACAAATGGGTTCACAGCATTTTGCCAAAAGAACTTGTTTGAAACGTAACGCAACTTCTTCAAGACCAAGGTCGATCAGCTCGGCCCATTACGGAAATCATCGGTCTTTTTCCGGGTCAACGCTCAGGTCTAGTAGAGTCACCGTAAATCAACGCGAATCACTATCAAACGATTTGTCGTTTTGAATAGAGTTCAACTCCGTATTCGAGTAACGCGTAGAGTAGGATGCCTCATAATAAATAAGAACGAAAAATTAAACTGTTTTAGAGTTGAAACAAATAGTCCAGGGAACTGTGAGTCTGTGTGATTTTTTTCCGATTTTTTAATTCAATTTTGCAGTAGCGCATGGCATTTCAAGTTTGACTAAAATATCTGACCTACTGGCAGTCAATGGTTATAAAACTTGGGTAAAAGTTAAATATCCTTGATTACGGTCCGGTGCTATGTTATAAAAATGACAGAGGATGGTTCTTCGGATCTGTTCAGGTAGAGAATGCAGCGACTAGTATAGGTCTGTCACTGTTGCTCACATAGCGAGGAGGTCGGAAATACATGCGTTTTCTGGGGAGCAATAGAAACTCAACTATACGACTGCCCTGTACGAGACAGCGGCGCTCGCAGTTGTCCCTGTCACACAAAACGATGTGCTCCATGAATATTAATAATAATAACACAATATCTATGAGTCGTGATGAATCGGAATAGTATATTACGCAACAAGTGCGTAATGGGTTTTTTGGCTCGTGGGAAGTTGTAAAACGAGCCGAAGGCGAGTACAATCCCATGAGTCAAAAAACACCATTATGCACGAGTTTCCTATAATATTTTATGTCATAGGCTCCAGAATCCGCGATTTTACCGAGCGAAGCGAGGTTAGAATCGCGTGATTCTGGGCACCTATGACATAAAAATTATTCTTCATTAAAACATTTAATGCTACATGTCTCGTCAACTTCTCAGTAGTTCTCAATATATTTTGGCCGGTATAAAAATGATTATTTATTGTTCATTTGTTTTCCGATGCCTAAAAATAAAAAGTCGGTCCCGTGTACCTAATTTTTAAGCTATGGATTTTTTTTGCAATGTATAGAATAACAATTACATTCCACTTTTTGCTAATTTAATTCCAAGATGTCTTAATTTATTTTTTCTTTAATGAAAAATTACAACTAGTCTCATGAAAAACTATAAGAAATTATTCCTCAAAGAATTTTCAGAACTTTTTTAGTTTTTTCATTTTTATAAAAAAAATTTATTTTGTCAAAAATTCATTATTGCATTTCAAAANGACTCTTGAAGCTCACAGGGTCTCCCCTTAATGGCAGGGCAACGTAAAGTCTAAAATATATCCTCAGAGTGGGAGACTTTCAAATTTCTGTTGGCGTATTTACTTCTAAAATGAATCTCCGTATTTTGCAATTTACCTGTCGTAGTCATTTACTTATCACTCTGATGCCTGTGACTCAGGGCTCACCAATAAACTGGATTTCCAATGACGCCCACTGGCTCAAACTCAGGAATTGTCTTCATAAAGGATTTCACAAATGACTTAGCTTCCAAGAACCTTAATGAATTGGGCTGAATTTACGATTTGCGGAAGCAAAACTCTTGAACCCTCGTTCCTAATTTGCTTATAACTGTCTTGTCCAATATTCATCTGGCAATTGAATATTCTCCGACAATTTCCTGAACTGTTCTAATGGTCAGTCAGTGCACGACTTCCAAAGAGCTAGCATCGCAAGAATCTTTGTCCTTCCACTTGTGCTCTAATATTCACGAACGAACTTCCAGTGTCTGTGGTAGTGTGTCAATAATATCAGCCAATTATTTAGAGAAAAAAAAGTGCAAAAATGCCAATGACGTGACTAGATACCTACAGGAGATAACTAGAGGAAGTGGTGAAGAGCAGGCCATCTTTACATGCCTGGACGAATGGGGACTTGTCAATGAAGTCTGTGCCATGGTATTTGATACCACTTCCAGCAACACAGGCAGCGCAAATAGTGCCTGTGTTTTACTGGAGAAGTTATTGGGAAGAAATCTTCTATATCTTGCGTGCCGGCATCATATTTTCGAGTTACTC